CTTCTCACTGTCATAACTCGAAAAATATATTTTGCAAGTTGTGTCATTTCTCCAACACGGATACCATATCCATATGTACTGTGAATTATTAAAACTATACTTTTTCTTTAAATATCTGGATATTCCTCCCAAATCTTACAACACATTTATTACCTCGAACTTATCGTTTGTACTGAATTTTACTTGAAAGTAAACCTCGCAAGAAAGAAGTGACATGAAAATTCATAACGGATAATAAAAGAATATTTATAGAAGGAATGCATTTTACTAATTGAGCAGATGTCTTATTTGTATACCTACAAATAAAAACTTTATATTCCGTAACAATTTATATTTCCAGCTGTAAGTAATAGGGTTACCCGTCTAAAGCATTAAAAACATGCAATTCATTTCTAATTAAATTTTCATTTCCGTGATTTTCAGTGAAAATTTTAATGCAACGTCTTGTACTCTCAAACGAAATTATCTCGCTTTCCGCTCCAGTTGCATATATGAAGTGAAGTTGCATTTATTTAAGTAGTTTCTCGAGTAGCCAATACAACGAGTACGAGAATAAAATAGAGCACAGCTTAAGCATGTAAAAACGGCGAGCTGCATCTCTCACTTGAATTTTCCTTCGAAGGATCAGACTTGGCTGTGTAAAAGGAAAGAGAGAAATTTGCAGGAGGAAAAATCGGACATAAATGGGAAAGCTTTACTTCCCTCTGGTCGCTACGATGAAGAGAGGTATAATATTGTAGTAAACACAGACTACTCAGCAATCTGGTTTATGCTCGCCTTTTTTCACTCCTTCTTCTGTCCTTCTTTTTCTTTTGTTTCCTTCGTCCCTTATTTGCACATCGTATTGTCTTGTAAACCGAGGAAGAAATATTAACGCTCGGTTGACACTAGTTGCGAGCCTGCCTTTTAACGAAATAATGGTTTCTTCTTAAGCAAACCGTACAGATCAGATTTTTAATAAAAAGGTAAAGTAAACGGGATACATAGTGACTTAAGCATCTCCTTTGGTATACAAAGGTAAAATTATTCCAATTTAATGGTCTTCAATATTTAACAGATTTTTGACTTGCATATCTTTTTTATCGGTATAAGAGAATTTATAAATTCGCTGTATCCTGTATGCATATTGTTATGAACTTGGTAGAAAATGGAAATTTAAAGTTTTACTCGCGGAACAATGTCGGAAGAATGTTTCAAACAAAAACAATTGTTTTTATATTGTAATAGGATTCAGGTCGAATTTTAAATTCACATTTATGAAAAAACGATTAAAAATTACACGAAGATAATTATGTAATTTACTAAATATGTTGCTTGACATTGTTTCAATAAAATATTTGTTAAAACAGATAGATGTACAGTAGTTTAAAAAGATTTACTTAACGAAGATATTATTAGTATTTCAAATAGGAATTTATTTAATTTTAATTATATCCTGTACAACACAATGTTATTCGCGTACATAATCTCTTTCTCTGTTCTTCTATTTCCCTTCCGACACGACGTACTGACGCAACATTGTATTGTGCAGGGTGAACAAGGAATTTCTCCACCTCTTTTATCTGCCTGATTTTTACACCATTTACCTTTACCTCGTGCTTTAAAACCGCCTAGAATCGCAAGTACCGCATATTTCCGCTCTATTAAACTGAAGGAACGAGCGAAGAAAATCAAGATATTAGTTTCCACTGTAAAAAGCGCAGGGACAATTTCCTGTTTGCATGAAAGCATATAGAAAGGTACGTACGATCAAATAAAAATTGACCATTAGAGAAAACGAACGAAAATTATGACAGTTTAATAAATAATACAATAAAGCATATTTCTATTATTTAAATGAATTATAAGCAAGTCTACGTTCATTTTATCTTCTAATGAAACTCCTTACAAATAAGCATTGTTCGGTTATTAATTTTATAATTTACTTAGTTTTATCGAGTAATCAAACAAAAAGAAATGTACAAAGACAACGTGTTATTTATTGCCCTAAACGTATGAATAAAAATAAAATCGTAAGAGAAACAAGATATTATTATCGAAATTATAATGTAACTCTATGAACTTTTTATTTTAAAGTACATTCTATAGAGTGTGATTATTGAAAATCATCCAAGGAGGAATACAGGTGTCGCAATGCTTTTAGTAAACGCTCATATGACTCATACACTGTTGTTGCGTTTAAAATATTAAAATTCAAGAGAAATACGATATACAATTTCTAATTCTATCTTCGAGTTCCTTCTTCTATACTTGCTTTCCTATCGAGTTTCCCTAGTGAGAGCCATTTATGTAAAATATGGGACAGGACATGTATGTATAAAAAGGAACATTGGTTCACTGGTATCAGCGACTCCAAATGATTCTGGTTGCGTCTTTTATTCACTCGAGTGTGATTTTCGCCTCATTTAGTCCCGGCATATAAAATATGAACGTTAAAAGGGTGATGAGATGGATACGCATGCATTTGCTGCGCGCTTACGCTAAGCACAGCTTTACAAGTCGAATCCACATAGAGAACAACTGCAGACTGCGCAAAAGCCAGGCTAACAACGAATAACTTTCATCCTCGTATATGCAAAGCGAATGCATTCTGTGATCCTATAAACATGCAATCACAGCCAATGATAAAGATTGTCCCTTGGGCATCTAACGTGGAAGGTAGAATGCCAGTTTTGAATGTAAATGCATTTTTTTCTGCGTTAAACATATATTTAAACATGACCATCTTGGTTCCTACGAAAATCTTAATTACGTATTTTATCTCGTAGTTCTGTTCATTGATCTTTTAATTAACGTGGAAAGAATAAGTGAAATGAATGAATGGATCGGGTGAATCGTGGTAAGATAAGTAGAAATTATGTAAAATGACTACAAATAGCAAAACTGGTGTATAAATAAAAGAGATTTATAAGAAAGAAATTTTTGGATACTGTCGTTATTAAATATAAAGCTAATCGAGCTTTCGTGAAATTAAAATTATTTATATTTAAGTTAGTATATATATATTGTATATTATATAATATATATTATTTGAGTCTTAAAGAGTTTCAAGACAAACAAGGTTACGTGGAGGTTCGTTCAATTTCGAATAGTAAATCAAGCATGTAAAAAAAGAGTTTAACTTTACAAATATAAAACGCCACTTAAATACCTTAGCGAAATTTTAGAATTTACGTGAGAGACAGAAGATTAGGTTTCAGCTATGTATACCGAATTTAATCCGCCGGAAGTAATTTAAGAAGACATGTTGGTCGTGTTTCTGAGAAACTAATTCTAAGCGAATTTTATACATGTACGTATATTTAGAACATAGCGCCATACATATCTAATATTTAAGTTACTTTGTTTCTGTCTAATGAATATAACAAATATCTGAATTTTTCTAACTCGCTAAAAATATTTCCAATATTTTCTTTATATTCAATTACTATCGCATAGTGCGCTGCACCGAAGGTTAGAAAAAAAAACAGTTAGAAGAAAAATATATATCCTACGTGTATTCTAAATATACAAAAATGTACAGAATGCACCTAATATATATAAATGCACAAAATATCTATAGTCAACTTGTTACAATGTCTATAGAGTAAAACAAATCTCGATTTAGCGCGTGGCAGCAACGAGACTCAGAAGAGAGACAACTAACCGCTGCTATAAAAATATATACGTAAAATCAATGTTATTGCAAATTTTCCCTCGAGATTAACGAAAAGCGGCAATTTGGAACAAGCGAAGCTAAAACAATGTTCAAGCTTGGAAATGAATATACATATGCTGGTAAAATATTAACATTCGGATAAGCAGCAAATGAATAGACTGAGCTCGGAAAGCAGAGGCACGGTGATATCTTCGGCTTTCCTTTTGGATGAAAGAGGGCGGACCGGTAACACGGGAAGCAACCGCGGAGTGTATTCATGGAAATCTGTCCATCAGAGTCTAATGGAATACCACCACGACGAAAAGTGCCACGAGATATTCTTTAATGCCTTCATAAAATTCAGGCTCATAATTCCCGTTTCACTGGCACGTACACGGCTCGCACACGACCGTGCAGACACGTGCGTACACACACGCAAAAGATTAGACCGACAACTCTCTGGCACGAGTTGCTCTCGCTCCCAGGCAAATATTCAACTCTGATGAAACTCCAGACCGAAATTCTGCTGATCCCTTCAGGGTCGGTAGTCATTACTAGGTTTACAGTAATAACGTAGCTTACAATAATAAACCTGGTGAACGAAGTTTATTTCGAGCCGCAAATCTGTTGTTTGATTCCCTTGCCACGCGGCTATGAACCCGGTAAGTTCAGACTAATTAGCTGAAGGAACGTAGCCGGCGTTAATTGCGTCACGGCCTGTTCCGCAACAGACAATTCCCTCGTTTAGAAAAGGCTTCTGGGTAAGTGCTACTAATAGACGTTTCAGTTATACGAGGCAACGCGTTCGATAAAAGCTGGATCGAATGATTGTTCCGACAATTTCTCTGTCTAGCTACATATAATCATGTAGTAGTAAAATAATATCGAAGACAAGTGCTAAAATGTTAGATCCGACATAAAAATAATGTATAATGGAGATTATTTCGAAGGTGATGATGTCTCGCATTTGTTTAATTGTGAAAATACCATTTTTATGAATAACGTCACATTCTCGTTATTGAATTTCAGTACGCTAGTTAATACCGATTAATGCATAAAACTTGATTCTTCTTTTGACATGAATATAAAACTTGAGATTTATCATACATACAAATGCGAAACACAAATGGGAAAGAAAACAGTTCGCAGTATATCGATCCATTACATATTTCGAAACCTTAATGATTCTTGTTACGACGCTTACAGTACAACTACAATAATCTGTGTTATTTGTATGTGTTTACGAATAACGTTTATATAAGTCACAAGTTTTATCGGTAGACTCTTCTCAATGCCTAAACGCTCATTTCCTTTTCAGAATTACTATTTTTCAGAAAAAAATTTTGTCTGAAAGGGTACTCACTCTAAGGGTCTCCAACTGGGAGCGTACGTACTCAGCTCGGCTGGCAATGTCGGGAATTGCCACAGGAAACGAACCCATGTACTGTAACGAGAAAAATGTTGCCTTAGTATTGTGTTTACAGGTATTTTTGAAAACTAGGAAAGTATTACAGTATCTATAATTATGCTATAAATAAGCCATAATTATGCAAATAACATACAGCATATTAAGGAAGCAAATTGATTCGTCATAGCATTGATATTAATTCGGTATGTTACTGTTTTCTCGTTTACGTAACACGTTATTCCGAAAATGTTAAAATTCGATTTTTATCAAAAAATAAAATAATTCTCAGATTAATTGGGACGATAAATTAGTAATAAATATAGCGGATGATATATGATTATTGAATTAGACAAATTGTCTATTCCTATTTTTTCATTTAAATTGATTTCAGATTATTAGAACTCGTTAATTATGTAACAGCCTATATTTTATCCCGTTAATTGCCTTCTGCGGTACCGTACAAATTGATAGCCCCCCGAGAGAACTAAATTACCGAAATATGATTTTTACGAGCTTTTAATCTGCTGTTTTAGCTCGATTACCAGTAGTATCTTTATACTAATTTCTGGTGAATCACTCTCGGCTATTATCGTTATGATACACATGCGTGCGTTCGAATAAACTTCTTTTTATATTTCCGTTACGATTTTCACTCGTTTTACGCGATAATCCATAAAATAAAATCTTTTTTATTTTCATGCATGATGTTCATCCTATTAATTCTTAGCATTTCGTTCATAAATAATATATTCGTACGAAAAGTAAAAAGAAAAGAAATTTGATTATTTTATATGAATGTTTTTTCAAGTACATTTCGCATATTTCCGATTATGCAACAGAGATCAAGTATTTGTGAACGATACGTTCTAACTTTGTTACAAACTCTACAACTACTTAACATTAAAATCAACGAAGAACATCTCTCTTTCGCTCCACGTGGAAAACTTAAATCTTACTTCCCACATCAAATTAGAGCAGCGCAGGCAAAGTTCATTTCTCCAGGGCTACACCGCTGCAAACGATTGCTCGCCACGGTAAAGTGGAATAGGAGGTATAGTGTGATTGCTATGGCACGAGGTTTGAAGACTAAGGCGAGGTTTCGAAATTATACGGTACTTGATTTTCTGGCCAAAGGTAGTCAATGGGTGTCCGAATTGTTGGGCCAGTTTCTCGAGAACGATATACAAGGGTCGATTGTTCGCTACGAAGTCACGAATTTGCTGCGAGCTACAATGTTTCGGCAAAATAGTTGGCGCTCAACGATGATCTAATTACCGAGTTTCGACAACGATGTATTTCAGAGGCTAACGCACTTTCGTACAAACTGAAAGTACATACTTCTGAAACAAATGCAGAGACATAAGTAACTTTAATTCGAGATAAGCGAAAGCCAGAAACGTTCGATTTTACTACCTTCTCCGTTAAATATAAAAAAATTTATTCTTCCTTTTGTTTTACATTAATTATTTTTCTTATAAAAGTCAATGAAACGCACACAGATTAGTTATTTAAAACGAATAAAATTATCTAAATAACTATCCGGATGAAAAAGAAACGTTCTAATAAATAGAAAGACATATATATTTGGTAATGTACATTTTAAGCAAAGCTATTTCAAAATATTAGGGGAAATATTAGGGGTCGAAAGGGAAAAATAATTGTACGATTATAACCTCATCTTAGATTTATTATATTTATCTACTGACATCGAAGGTAAATGTTATAATATATCGGTAGATATACAATTACTAATACACAAACCTCCAATATTATGCGTTTAACATTTTTTAAAAATCTTTAGAAAATAACAATGAATCATTTCGATGAATTGAAAATAACAAACCAGTAATCGATATTATACTACAACGTTTAAAAAAACTGATTTATTAATAATAATCCACTTCACCCTTCAAAGTTTAATGCTTTCGGCAAGTATAATACTTTCTCAATTTCTGCCAAATATTTCTTCGCATTTAATAGGGGTTGAAGAGGTCGACTCAGCGAGGAAAACATGAGGGTTGGAATACCAGAAAAGTTCAGCACAATTTCGTGTATCCTTCGAAGGTATCCTCTTCCTTGATCAAACACGCTGTTTGATGATTATACGGTCGATAAAAATAGCGACCCCTCTTCTAACGACAATAAATAAAACTGACCAGAGGGTAAATTGCAGAAATGTAATAAGGAACGATAATTAATACAATTTCGTATCTACAGTCTGTTCTTCACAATACATATGTCGCCTTCGTAATTGAGCATACCGTGTTGATAAATTACTAATGACATCGCTGCTGACATTCGACAATTTTAGTTCATTCAGTCTACAACGCAATAAAACTTCGATTACCGGAACGCTAGTTAATGAAACTATCGATTATCGAAACATCTATCAATGAGAAATTTCGAGGTGATTTCCAGTAAGAAATATTGGAAAGGATAAATATTGAAAAAAATTGCTATATTCTTATTCGTATAAATATAATTACTAACGTTGATATTTATAAAATAGGTCAACATAAATGAAGCTTGTCTCACGCGAAAACAAAGTTATTGACTTATCCGATAGAGGTACGTTTTATATGAAAATCCTTTATTAACGTATAGAATTATCAATAATAAGGATATGTTCAGTAATGAACGTAATAACAACTTAAATTAGCAGCAAACTAAATATCAATTAACGTTTACAAAAAATATACGAATCTTATGTTTTTAATATCGTTTAAAAATGCATTCGGAGGAAAAAGCGTAGCCGAACGTTACGGTGAAAAAATCCATTTACACAGATCTAACGTTTGATATCAGTCGTTGAAATTATTGAAATTCTTCTCATTGTGTTTTATTGTTTCGGAATTTTCAATAAATAAAACATTCGAAGATGGACCAATTTCCTTTTTTTTTTTTGTTTTTGCTTGTTGCGCGAAATATAAAAATATGAAGATATGAAGATTGGAATAACGTTTGTAGAGATAAAATAAATGTCCTTATAATATTGCTCTGCACGCCGTGCAATGCGCAGATAATCGATCGAAATTGAATTTCATACAAATTTAATATCGCTCGTATTATTTCGTTTACAAAAATGAATTTGTTATGGAATGGTTTCACCAACGGATCAATAACTCTCCAACGTGTACACGGTATAGACTCATTAAAATGGGAAAATATTAAATATATCGAAGAAACGTTATACCCAGAAGACGAGAGCACGGTTGGTTGATTTAATTGCAACACGTGCAGTACATATAATTTGCGTTTCTATCATGATTTCCATGTCTGAAAATCTTTTCTCCGAGCGCGAGCGGCACGGCATTTCGATTCAGATACTCGTGCCGCAAAATAATCCCTGCTTTAATCCCCCCGGATGATTCTCATTGTTGTTTCATCGAACTTCTCTTCGGGAGGATCTCCTCTCGGAATCACAGGGATTTTCCAGAAATATTATGCCTCTCTCCATATAGCGGAAGCGACCTCTGAAAATTCCGTGCAATATCGGATGCACCAAACACAAATAATAATAATAATCGTGATTGATATTTCTATGTAGATACGATACGAAGTCGTATACGCATACGAGAGTACTATATGAAACTGTTCTTTCGTTACGTTAGTCCTACTACGCATATGTTTTATCTCGATGTATATTGGTATAGTATAGGAGACAGTATTGAGGACGTACCGAAGGATATTTTGTATAGAAGTCACATAATAATTCATGATAATATGGAATTTAAGGATACTGGAAAACTAACAAGGAAAAGTATATGATTTATTTAATAGAATTTTCTTGTTTTTATGGCATAAATACGGAATACTTTTGAAAAATGGAATATGATGTATAAGAAATTGAGATTTGTGTAGAAATAAGTGGATAGTTTAACAAACGTTAGGTTTCTCTAACAAAAGTTTTCTTCATCTTTTTTTACATTTCACTGCATTTGATTGCAATTCCTTTATTGTATCTTATCCCATACAAACTTCAAAACATGAAACAAGATACGGAAATATATTGACAAATTAACTTTATAAATAAACGTTTTATTTTGTCCGATATATAGTCTAAACTTAAAAACAACGGTACAACAGCAATTGTATTTACGGTATAATAGATACTTAAAACTTTGCTAAAGATAAATATCAAATTTGTCGAACAAATTTAGATTAATAACACTTTAACGAGAACCGAATCCAAACGTAGTATAAAATTCGTGCACGTTTGTAAAGTGTTAATAATATTCGATAATTTTCTGAAATTATCTTAATAGCGAACAATAGCTGTCACATAAAGCGTAGTCGATTTCAATAAATTTTGTAATAAACGTGACGCTTGTAAACTCGTGTACCAAGGACAATTTATCAATTTAATCGCCGTATTAAATTAAACAACGAAAATTGCTAAGGACTTGGAAAAATTGCAGGTGTCTTTTGCTTTTTCTACGATGGTTTCGACAAATTTCTATTCGCGTGCCGATCGATTTTATTTTTAGAAAACCTGTTGAGGACAGTGAAATAGACCAATTGAGCCATTATACGGCTACAGAATTTAAATTAATTCTGTGCCGCGAAATCCGCAAACAATGAACACGGCACTTTGCGACATAACGAGGATAGAGATTAATAAATGTCAAATATCTTATCCACTTTATCAGTTTATATGAATTTCAATCTCATAATTATCATCCCATTATTGATTGGTCTCTAGAAGAGTTCTTCATGAATTTGCAATTGAATTTTATCTTCTTTTCCTGCCTAATACGCTCTTTGCATTATCGCAGTTTGAATTTGAACGATTTTGTTATCTAAAAGATATACGTGTACTTATGTTTCTTTTATATCTATTCTATTGCTTAATTTTCTTCGACGATTCTAATTTCCTAATACTTACAGTTTTGAATTCTGATTCTAAATGCCACTTTACATTCGATAAAAAAGGTTGTGCTTTCTCGTGCCACTTATGTTATGTTATATATTAACGTTATTTTCGTAATGTGTTTTCGTAATATACACGTCCTATCCGTAAGAAACTTTGTAATTTATACTCTAATGATGTCATCAATTTTTCGTTACCCTGCGATTTATAAATGCGCGTGATATGTAAGAAAAGAAACGTGCTTTCTCAATTGTGAAATATACTTAAACATAATTCAAATTTTTTAATCGATGACTATATCTTAAGCGAAAGAACAGACACACGATTATTAAGAGGTTCAAATGATTATACAAATTGTATATTAATTCTGTCAAACAATACATTGACTAGTATCAATAAAAGATTTTATAATAAGAAAACAATTATGTTCTAGCATATCAAACTGTAAATGCTTTCGTAGAATTACTGTTTGTGCGCTGGGTCGAATGTATTAATGGCCAACCGTCTCGCGATAAGACCGAAAACGATCAATGGATTACCATAATCGTGGAATTCAAGATTTCACTCGTGTTATCTTTACGCACGATCAGTCTTGTGAAATTTCCAACAACGGTTATGATTATTATACCACCGCAAATATTTCATAAATTTTACTCGCACCAAGTACAGCAGTTCTACACGATGTCGATATGAAATCATTTTCGTAATAGCACTGACACACGATAGCAGTAATTTCATGAAAAAAAGAGAGAAAAACTCAGGTAGAATTATGACAAGATGAAAGATAAAAATATGATTAATTGATTCAAACTAAATTTATACTAACTTTCAGTATACACAAAACGAATACAAACACACTGATTAAAACGATTTTAAATAATCGGTTATTTAATCGTATTGAAGGATCGATTGTGATACATGATTATACTGAATACACCCGAGTCAATTCATAATAAAAACTAAAAAGACTTTTGCTACAGTTATTTTTATAATACCCTTTTAAAATACCTTTAAAATTTCTTCAAAATGTTGATTTTTACGGCATATTAAAAAATTATCGAAATCGGTGCTAGGGGTAAAGTTCCAAATAATTAGTTAATTTATTCTTTACAATTATTTTTTATTTTTAAAATCTATGTTTATTTTCAAGTTAAAAGATCTAAATTTAAATTTAAATCTTGAAATTGAACATGATTTTGACATAATTTATCCACGCAATTAATTCTTCAAATATTCAATCATTACTACATTATTACGTATATGATTACTAGTTATTTATCAGTTAAGTTAGTCTTGGTAGATTCGATTATACTTTTCCACGAATATAATTATTTCATAGAAACGAAGGAGAAAAGAATGTGTTCTTGGTAGCATATAAAGAAGATTCATGTTAAATTAGGGGTGGCAGTCCCATTGTGACAATCAAAGCTAAGCTGATTACATTAATTAGAATTATTAACGGATGAGGTCATTTCTTTGTTTGGCTATCTCTTCTTAAAAGTATAGCCGCTTCCTAGAAGGATAACAAACAAGAATAAGATAATTATTCTCTTCTTACAAGCATGGCATAACTATAGTTACGGGCATAATAAATTCTCTTCTAATAATGATTTAATACAACTTTAATTCGAACATAGTTTTATTATATGAGATAAGAATAAATATAAAAAAAAATTGAAAGAAATATAGGAAAAATATTTATACGTAGGTAATATTTAAGTACTAACATATTATGGAATGTCGCATAAGTTAATTAATATATGAAGTTGAAGCTAACGAAGTTAAAAAGAGAATACAGATTTTCGACGATAATATATAACGTATATAAAATATTGGCACGCAGCAATGACGTCTATTTCTAATATTTTTACGGGGTTTATGAAAATTTTTATTAAATCACCTTTTACATATAGATGTGCTTCTTTTACAAGTAATATCTATTATCATGCGATTTGCAACTTAAACACATCCCTAAAAGTTGTACTTTATCATTCATAAACTTGTATATCTTTTTATTAATTTTTGCATAGCTATTTGCAATGATTAGTTAATTTGACACAGTCTTGCTTCATTACTTGTTTTAGTATTTTACTACAGGCTATGAAAGACGATTGTCGACAAGACGCGCAACATGTATTGAGCCTATTCAGTAATATGAAGTTAGTCTCTCCATGCGTGTAATGAGGACGCAAACTTCAATCGGAAATGAAAATAGATTTTACTTTTCACATGTTGATTTTCGAATGAATGTTATGTCTCTCGTACGTATATATTTGCAAAAACGTTGTCTCTTATATTGTTAATACACATAGGTTTAGAATTATCATTATACTAAGAATATTGCTATCAGATTGAACAATAAATTCGTTCGCACCTTGAAGAATATTATAAAAACGTCTTTTACTTAAAAAAACACGATTGAATTGATGACTCAATCGAATATAATAAGTTATATACTCGTACTTTTAAATAACTTTTAATACACAATTAACATGGTAAAACATCTTCGCTATTAGTATTATAAAATTACCAGCAGTTTTCGAAATTACATACAGTTCAAACCATACGTTCACTTCGCATAAAAATAAAAATTTTAGAAACATGATATACAAGTTTTGTTAAACATTTTCACATTGTAATATCCATTTCAGGGTTTCATTATATTACATTATACTACTATATAATTCTTCATAGAAATTCATAGAGCATTCCAAAGAATTTATCATCAATCAATGTGTATCTACTGTGCCCTAAGTACAACATCCTTAAGGGCTGCTATAAATTATAAGCAATTTTCTTTCAGCCTCTGATCCTTTCTATATATGAATCTGACAAATAGATGTGCAGAATAAAAATAGAAAGAGTGACAGAAGCAGATAAACAACGAAGAAGGCAAATAGACATATGCACGCGCTGTTAGACAGACAAGACAGAGAAAGAAACGATGAATGGAAAAAGGAAGTGTACGATAGACGTTGCTATGGAACAGAAAAAGCTGTTGTACGTGAGTTATGGCATACTCTCAGGATGCGTATCGCACATTATGAATCATGTATGTTTTTTTTAGTTTTCTGAAGGCGTATACTTCTATCATACTTTGCTATTTCAATCCGTCTGCTGAACCTGTTAATATGTAATACGCATAGCGACGTGAAATCTCGGTTGTTACCTCGATTAACGGAACAATCTTTTACTAGGAAATTAATGGAAAAGTCGGGAATGATTCCCTGTAAGAAAAATTGAAAAACCAGATGAAAATTGAGAGAAGTTACACATTTTTACCTAAATGTTTTGCTTCCTGCTTAATATTAACATTTACAAAATAGTTCAAAATCTTACTCGTATGAAAGCAAATTTATCTGATCATCCGAACATCGTGTGTCATGTTAGTTTGGATAATCAAGTTTCTACTGTATCTTCGATATTAAAACGTTATTGGCAATTAGAAAATACCGTCGAGATATAATTAGAAATTACAAGTGTTTAATGAATAAATGAATTCAATGATAATTAAGATTTTCAGTAATTGAGTTATTTACTTCATTCATAAACTAGAAACATCAGTTTCATGATAAAATATCAAAATATTAAAATATTCTTTCAATTACAAGGCGTTTTGACAAATTCTTTAACTCTTTCGTTTAAACTGTTTCAAACTTCAATCAACAAAAAACGAACAGGAGTAAAGGAGAACTGGAGGAACATTGCCTCGAAGGACGCCATAAAATATCTCGCAAATAATTTTAATTTCCTAAACCCACATATTAGTTTAAAGACCGGTAGCCCCAATGGTCGTAACTATACGTAATATGAAAAGCATAAATCAGGCAACCACAATTTCGGCTACAATTTATATTCGTCGTTTAACACGCCCTTAAGACTAACCTGTACGTTTACCTAATAATTCAACGAGATAATAAATTCCATCGCCTCCCTTTCTGGCCACGCACTCTTCCGAAGAAAGGATAACAGCGTGAAAACGAACGCGGCAAACGAACTCTCCAGCCGAATTAATTGAAGCAGATTGCAACGAACTGCGAACAGTTCGTTCTTTCGTTTTCGAATGCACCCCAAAATTCACGCGTTTCCTAATTTGTACGACTGTATCGGATGTTTCGGGGAAATGGAAACACTTCGGACGCCTACCTGTACACCGTTGAATATTTTCAGAGTGGCCTCCGGCATCTTGACGGCTACGTCCCCAGCCTCTTCTTCCTCCTTTCCACCCATGGATGTTTCAATTATCCCTGTCTATTCGGTCTTTTAATTGCATATTTCGTTAATTGCTCGCCGTCTCGTTCGCCACCGATCAACCACCTGTCCAACGCGCGACGTGCGCAAGTAATCACTCTTTTTCCGGTTTCTCATTGTTACAATCACATACAAATAGCCAAATCACTAAACACGTATAAAATTTCTGGACTTTACTTATCTAACACGTTATTCAACAGGCTAACAAATGACTCAATCCTTTAATCGCGGAATATTTAAAATTACATCCTCGTCATTGGATTTTTGATCACTCGCGATATTTATGTAAGAAAGAAATTGTGTAACTTAAACGTTTGATCGTTAGACCATTAACTTGCATAGCGAAGAAACTTAATTTTCTCTGAATATTGAAAAAGAAGAAGAAATTCCCTTCATAGCACGAAACGTACATTACAAATTTTGAATAATATTTCGACGCGTTAACACTTATCGCTATCGCGCGATATCTCGGAAACTGACGCGATCTTCAAATTTATAGTAACGCACATATTCATTTAACGAAGATTAATCTACGAGGACGATGTTCTCCCCCCTTTTTTTTTCTTTTGCTATCGCTTCTTTCCTGCAGTGAAAGAAACTTCTGAAGAGAAACTTGGTCACTTTCACCGGCCACTTTTGCACAACGATTCGTTCAATTTTGCGAAATCATAAAGGAGTCCCGCGTTGCCGTGCGCTCCGCGGAGGTATGCACCGTGGTCACTAATCACTGTCACTTTCGTCTAAACATGCCCGGCGAACGCTCTGTTCCACGCCACTTCTACGCCGCAGAGACCTACGCGATCACTTTCGTGTCATTAATCCTGCTGACCACGAAAACTAGTTTCGAGAAACGCGTTCAGGCGTTTCGCAAGTGGACTTGAACGTAGTCAAGTGAACAGCTGCAACAAACTATTCGCGATATTTGAAAACATCGAACGTCAGTCCTAATCTACTTTCGATTAATTGATTCCAGTGAACGCTCGAGTTCAATAAGCAAAGAGACGAAATAACTTATGGCTGGTTCAAGTCGTATCATTGCGAACTTTATCACTCATGTTCCTTCTACCGAGTATCGTAATTTACAGTCGTACTCCACTACTTTGCCTAAAAACCAATTGGAATTTTAAAAGTCGAGTAAAATTATGCTTTCCTGTATCGAAGTTGATATTGTTACGAGTAAGATCGAGACAGAAACGAGAGGCTAAATGTGGTATCCGCTCGTATCGGAGTCGAAGGGGCAACGAAGCAATGAATCACGTTCGAAAATGGCCCGACACGCTCCAAATTGCTCCCGGTAGGTGTTGTTTCAGGCAAAAAGTATGCGCGTTTCCTTCGAGCCTCGTTTCGAGGTGGGTTTGTTACGTTATCACCGGTGAAATTGCATCCCCGGCACATTTGCTGGCAGGCATACTTCGTCGCGCTTACCGAACTCGGTCACGTCGCAACTGTTGACATTTTCGTGTTCTTAGTCTTGGGAGTCGTGACGAAGAATCTTGACGCAGGATGGCCGGAACGTTGTGTAAAACGTGAACAGCATTCGAACTGACCCCGATACATTTTGCAACGAGAGATTCGCGGGTGCATCAATAAGGTCGCGCCTCTGGATCTTTGATCATTGGCAACAAGATTTCTATCTCGCGTTCGTTCCGACTGTTTCGTGGCTCGACGTTTATCTCGGCCAGATGAAAAACGCTAATTTTGAGTATCCGACAACGAGCTATTTAAGAAAATAGATTACACTTTTAAAATAAGTTTGGCGGCAAAGCGAAATTTTAAAACAAATTCGCGTGATACTTTACGATTAATCCTCTGCGAAAGGTATTAATAAATAAAACGTCTACGTACAAAGTGTCCAGTGTTATCGAGTACGTTCGTGATACGCGTGAAGGTTCCATGAGCACGCGAGCGATGATTTTTAACGCGAAAAGCAAGTCGTATCGCGTATAGATATTCGTGAAATCCGTTTTAATTAATCAACACTCGTTTAATCACAGATTCTTGGCCAGTTTCATTAATTATCATTCATCTAATTAAGTATATGCGTTATAGTACGAGTTTCATTGGATTATGGTATGCGCTTTAATTACGTCGACCATTCAATTCAAACACGATTCCTCGTAATATTAATAATAACGATGCAATCCTATTTTAAATTTCTCACGGAGATGCAATTTCAATTAAGCATTTTATCGAAATCCGACATGATTTAACGTAACACGTACCAAAATCTCTCCTCGATAAATCATCGATTATCATGATCTTGCTCCAAGACTTTCCCCAGTTGGGTTTTTAATCGATCATTGCTCCGTTACCTCTCGAGAGACATATATTAATTAGAAATCGTTAAAACAACCGTACTCCAAAATGTCCGTTTCTAAAATGTTTCGTCATTAATTCATTCTAATGATACATTTCAACATGCTTTGAGGAGAGTGTACTTCGTTTCGAACTGGGAGAAAATTGATTACTTTCCTGACTTAATTTTTCCTTGAACGCGTATCATCATAAACGTGTATCAATCTTCCGTTATGTAAGATTTATCGATCATACGAATAATTTATCTTTATGTGAAAACATCAATTATTCTCATTGATATAATTATAATATACCGGCTATTAGTAATAGCATGATTGCAGAAAGTGTACAATTCTACGGTATAATCAATTTATATTTGAATTTTTGCTGCTTCTTTGAATAAAACTGGCGATATATTTTATGATCTTTCATAATCTTACTTTGTCAACTTCGCTTTCAAAGCTGTGAAAGTAAACAGTTAAGAAAGGTACATATGTCATGCGTCAACGATGCATATGCATACAATTGAGTGAACACTTCACTAGTAAATTATGACGCGGATACATTGACAATATTCTACAGGTATATGGACTGTAAAGCAAGTGTATATAATTAGCTTTGATTTGTGTATCATCTCATATTCAACTTTAAATCAGATTTCTTGCAATTCAATTATTACGATTTAATCGAAATTCGATCTTTAAAATATCGTCTCGTCTTTTGTTCTAAAAATATTCTCACATATTATACAGAAGATAAAAAGCCAAAAGTATAAATATCGTAAAAGTTTGTCAGAAGTTAATGGAATAGAATTTTGAAAATATTAACAATGTTTCGATATTCGTCACCTAAAAGACATACGTTTATAATAATTTTCGTAAGGTTTTCGTAAGGAGCATCGAACAGTTGTACCCTTTCTTTCGAGCAAAATCACATAATTACACACGTCCTGACTAATTAAGACGAAATAATTACTTCTTTAAACGTTCACCAATAAGGTTTAATTATCCACTTATTAAGAAATCCTGTCAGGCATACATGGACTCCGGCAAAACAATTTCAGCTGTCAGTTCTACAGCGAACACTACATAATAATATATTTCATCGCTTAACCGAATAAAGGAATCCCCCGTCGATCAAGTTACACACACTTAATTCTAGCACCATTAATCAAGATCAACCAATCCTTTCATTAAGTGTGCGCGAACGTCATTTAATTGTCTACTCATCCAGAAATACTGGCGCGCATGCATTGTCGAGGAAAGCAACCCTGTCCGTCAATCTTGAAATGCCATTTGCATAATGATGCCTTTCATCGACGTCGTTCAATGGAAAAATATGCTTGCGCTCTTTCATTAAATCCGCTTAATGACGTATCAACAGTCGTACGTTTGTTTAATTCGATCATGGGTGCTTCACCCGGACAAGAAACTCATCACTGTTTACAATTACACACTGCACATCAACGATGAAACTATAACGAAAGAGGACTCTTTATTTTTCGTAATTCCCACTATGTAATTATCTCTTATCTTCCTCTAGAAATCCTATCATCCTTCTAGCGTAGAAAATTCGATGAACATCAGAAAGACCAACGATATTTTTATTCGCCGTGAAAGATTCGATTCTCGTTCGAGAATTTCAACGAATTCCAAAAGACTGGTCTCGGACGTGCATGCATACGAGATCAGCAGCTATTCTAATCGGGTGACCGAGGTGTGCACAACAAGCGTATCCCCGTCGATGTTCGTGGAAGGCAAAAGAATCTGGCGTTCCATGTGAAAACTTAGTCTAGAGTCGCAGGAGTCCCGTATGCTCGTCGACGAAC